TTGGATGAGAAAAATGGGGCGTACGCCGAGCCACGAGAGCCGGATCGATCGCGAAATAAACGTACGCTGGATGGACGACGACGTGGAGTAACCTGTCTGCAGAGTGGAAACAGCAGGCAACGTACGAGGCAACGCACGGTTTTCGGCGCTGGCCAAAGTACTCGCGCCATAGTGCGGTGGATCGCGGCGGTGCTCGTTACGTTCCAGCGAGATCCTTTCCGAGTCCGTGTGTTTTCTTCGTGCGGAGGACAGACAACGTTAAACAGCGCACGGTTGTACGAGCGATGCGAGCTGCGTGACGAGTGAGCGGCACAGAGAGTTGTGCGCGTAATCGGAGCGTGTGCGAGGTTTTCCAATGGTCGTGACATGTTGGCTGTTGATGCTGCGTAGGGTGCGTGGTGAAAGTGGTCGTGTTAACGTGTGTTAGGAGGTCGAGGTCGTGCTACGTATCCAAGTAGCACGGTATCTCGAGGAATCTCGGGTGTCGTTGCTTCGAGGTCGAATGATTCCCTTTCGATCGTGCGATCTCTCGTGACCCTGAGCAAACTCGACTAATTGCTGCGACTCACTCGACATCGCCATAGCAGGGCGATCGTGGCAGAAGAAAGAGAGGCGACACCAGCAATCGACCAAGTGCAGGTTGAGGGCTACTTGAAGAGACTCTGTCGAGAGCACAGACGGAGAAAGTGTGTCAGCGACGTGGTACGAGGCGCCTCGAGGTGCCTTAGGTTAGGTCGCTGCTAGAGTCCCTTGATGCGAGGCGACGATAGAATAACAAACCCGCGAGCAAATGTCGCGTTAATTATCTTGGAATTAAAATTCTTTCCTCGGGCTGAAACGCTACTAGACGAGGCAAACAAAAAGAAGGAAACGCTGACACGATGACGGAAATAATTAAAGCTTCTCATCGGATTCGAGCAGCTCTCGGAGAAGTATCGAATTAGAAAAGAATCGTCCAACTGGTGTAACAACCGTTTAGCCTTGACGTTATCGCGTTTCTTTCGAGATAATTAGCGGATACAACGAAGGATCTCAAAAGGAAATCGTCCAAGCTGGCAATAACTTGCGGAGTTGTATATCCAGCGTGAACATGATCTCGGTGAGAAAATACCGACTGCACATCGATTCGCTAGATGAAAATCTCGCTAACGAGCTTTCGCTCATCTGATTACTGGAAAGTGAATTCATTAAGCGCAATCTAGTGTCGATTTGCACACGTACGAGAGGCCGCAGAAGATTCGTCAGAATCAAATTGTGCATAACGTGATTGTGAAGTGATACTCTCATAAAGCAGCATCCGGTTCGTTACAGGGGATCCAAGTGTAGCTTGAACGTGTGTACGCGCGTTGAGAGAAGAATCGGGTAGTAAGCGTGTTCGAAGCGTGTTTCGTGTGGTCGGCTACTCTTCATTCGTCCGATTTCACTCTGCGATCGGCAAAGTAAAAGACCGTTAACATCGAATACATATCCAGTTGCACTGCCGTTTGCCAAGCGCAGCGAATCGAACGTGCTGCGTTTCGTTTCTCTAGCAACTTGCCTGGCCAACTACCGCGACAATTTTCAAAGAGTTCCACTTGTTCTCTGACGAACTTGTCGGAACGTAGGATTTTCGTTTGATCGGCAATTTCCTTTCGCCATCTCTGCTGTTTGTTCCGGCTCGTCGATAATCGTTCGTCGTCGGCCGCGCGATCCCATAAAAGACGGACAAAGCGGACGCAGGGACACGTCCTAGCGAAGGGTGCTAAACAAACGAGCGTCTAGGAGAAAGACTCGCCAAGCGATTCCGCACGGACGTGTGCACAGTCACTCTCTCTTTCCATATCCGCCACCCACGCACGCAGCCGAGGCCGTCCGCGCGTGCGTGCTCACGTGCGACTGCAGCCGGTACAACGTGGCTAGCGAACGAGTACACAAAGTAGCTACGCTGATCAAACGCTGCACGTCCACCGATCCAAGCTATCAGGCTCGCTGGATCAGCTCGTAGCC